TTTTTTCCATATGTCTTGGTCTGTGTTTCTCACCACATCTTTTGCAAGTGAACATTTCTTTATCATACGTTTTGTTTTTGTTGTCATTGTTTTTGAATTTACTCCATGGCTTTCTTTTAATTAACACAGCATTCACTGTCTCATTTTCTTAATGCGCTGGTCGTTGAGCAGGCCCTGTAAAAGTCAGTACAGGTTGTCATGCTAGCTCACTGGCTTGACTTTCCAACGTCATTTCTGTTTCCCTAAACAGTTTCTCCCAGAGTTTTTTCTCATTAGTTCCAAACACTATTTGATCTCTTATCATGGAGTCTCTGAGATCACCAAAATTACAAGACTGAGCTTTAATCTTGAGGTCTGTGAGAAAAGTATCAAATGACTTGCCTTGGTGCTGTAAGTATGAGTGAAATACATATCTCTCGTATGTTTCATTTTTCTTTGGCAGACAGTGCTTGTCAAATTTCTTCATGACTTCATCAAACTTGTCTTTGCCCTCGAGGTGGGCAAACACAAAAGTATTGAAGACCTCTATTGCTTCTGCGCCGGCAGTGGTGAGCAGCATGGCTATTTTTCTTTTATCTGGTTGTCGATCCACTCCGACAGCCCCAATATACAGCTTGAACTGCTGTTTGAAAATCCTACGTTTCCAGTCAGTTTCAACTGACTTGGTGGTTTTATTGCATCCATCTTGTTGTGTTGTTTTTTACTCTTGACCCCACTCTTGGTGCCATGTAATGTTTTTATTCATCTAAGAATAAAACATCAAGAATTGTTCCTTGTGCTAGCTTCAGCTAGCTGTTTATTTCTAGACCTCCCTGTCTTTTTCTCTTGCCGTATCCATTCCTGGGTGCCCCCTGTGGGTAGCTTCTTTAAATGCAACTATCATTACACCCTCTTAGACTGCGAATTCCCATCAGTAATGGGGGACATTCAAAAATTGATGTGTACCATAAACCAATGCATACGAATCAATATTTAAGGCTTGACTCTCATCATCCTTTGTAACACAAACTTAGTGTCATCAGGACGCTGCAACACAGATTGAACTCTGTCCAGACAGACTCAGCGGCCAGGGAAGCAGAAGAACATCATATCAAGAAGGCCCCGAGTAAATGTGGTTATCCCAGCTGGACATTAGCCAAAGCTGGGAAGACACCTAAAGAATGCTCCAGGCGATCCAGGAGAGAAGGATAATTGCTGCGTGATGCCTTATGTATCACGAGCATCAAAATAGCTGACGCTTCTCTAAACAGCGTGTCACTGTGATTTTCAAACCCCAAAACATGCTGCACCAAAAAATTGTCCACCCCAAGAATCCAGTCCCCCCAGAACAAACAGAGTGACATAGTGTACGCTGTTAAGGGCCAGGAGGATTGCCATGATTTATACATCGGAGAAACCAAACAACCTCTGGCTAAGCGGATGGCACAACACAGAAGAGCTAACTCATCAGGGCAGGACCCCGCAGTCTATGGACACTTTCAGGCCAGTTGCCACTCCTTCAATAATGACAATGTAAACATCCTATACAGGGAGGATCACTGGTTTGTGCTTGGAGTCAAGGAGGCCATTTATGTGAAAAGGAAGAGACCATGTCTGAATCGGGGAGGAGGCCTAAGGGTACATCTTTCACCATCTTACAATGCTGTGCATGCAGGCATTCCCCAACTCTGTGAGTGGTACTCATGGCCATTGATCAGTTGTCATTGATCAATGGTCTTTGATCAGTGGCTGTTGATCAATGGTCATGACAGTTTGCATATTAACGATAAAGAAACTGACCTCACAGCCCAATGTTTATCGTCAATGGTGTTAGTGTCAGTCGTTATGCAAATGTACTTGTAACACAGTATACTTAATCACTACAGAATGTAGAGAAAGTTAGGGTCTTTTCAGTTCAGGTGTGTGCAGTGTGTGTGTATAGTGTTATTATATATAATCTTCTGTGGGGTGAATCACCAGAGTCGGCGGGGCCTCATGAGAACCAGCCTCTCTAGCACCTGCGTTTGCTGCTCGGCCAGGTCCTGAAGCCTGTCCAGCTGGTCCCACTGGGCTGCCGCCTGCTTTCTGCACATGATCGCCAAACAAACTTCTGGGTGAACTACTTTAGACTTGGCTTACTAGCTCAACTTTTTTTAATTATCCTGTCATTTTTTCAAGAACATGATCAAGAGTTCAAGGTGTTGATGTAGCCTCTCCAGATTCATATCTTATCAGGCACTCTCAGTGTGCAACTGAACCTTTTCCAAAGTTTGAGCTGAAAGCCCAAATGTCTCAAAAAGACTATAACTCAGTGTCACTCCAGAAGCTAAGCTAACAAGAAAACAAAGCCCATAATAGCTTGTGAGGTACTGTAATTTACTAACTAGTACCACATAATCTTACAAAGACATACAAAAGATGAACTTCAAGCAGTCGTTTTCACACACTCAGCTATATTAACAGACAATGTTTTTATTTTTAAGTGGTTGCACTTTAAAAATAAAAATATTTGTTAAATTTAATTTTGTATTTTTTCTTACAGGCTGTTGACATGGTCCTTGATGTCATTCAGCTGTTATTATGATGTTCTTGTAGCTTCAGTCACAGTGAAGCTATAAAAAGCACTAAATATGCCAGCACTCCTGGCATATTTAGTGTAAAAGACTTTGTCAGCATCAACTCTAATGATGTGTAAGTACTAGTTTTGGGGTTATTACTCAGGAAAAATAATGTATTTCACATTACTCATGAATTTCCTTAAAAGTAATTTTGAATGTAATTTAATTACTTGCTGGAGAAAGTAAGTTTTTCATGGTTTTACATAGGATGTGGCATATACTGGGCATACGCTAGCTGGAGTGACTAGCGCAAAATTTATGTTAGGTTGTCCATGGTGCTCTGCCTGTTCATAATTTCTTTGCACCTGCTCTACATATACTAGATTAACTGCTCCCTGCCGTTTCAAAACATGTATCTCTCATCCTTAAAGAAGAATTATTTGGCACTATACCTGTTAGTGAAGAATGTGTTGTTTTCACAACACTGCTTTCATAAAGTTGTCATAAAGTTTCGGATACAAACAGAATTAACTGTTTTTTTCCATGTTTTCGTCAACGGTGTTGTTTACCTTAGCACAGCTGTAGGTTTTGTTCCTATTGGTCATGCCGAAATATGTTACAGCACACCGCAGTCAAAGTTCCACCTGCAATATGCACGAGGACAGTATGCCAGTGCGCTTGCACTGCGCTTTTGACAGTACAATGAGAAACATTCTTTTCTACTGCAAGCAATAGAAAAAAATGGGTTTATAGTGCAGCGCAGCATCTGCCGCATTCTGTCTGAAATGGCCTTTACACTAGGCTACTCTTTACATTGCTTTCTCTGTACTCCCTAAAATGATCTGAAACACAATGCCCCAAACACTATGAAAAATGCCTATCCAAATGAAGACACACATATGATCTTACTTTTAGTTTTTATAAATGAACACAAAACTAACAGCACAAAGCAAAGATGAAAACCAGGTCAAAGAGACTTTAAAGCGATCATCACAGTGAGTCTACTGTAGAAACATGAACCAGTAGAAACACAGACTGTAGCCTGACTGTTGATCAGTTTGTTAGGTGTTGAAGACCAGGCTCTGGGCTGCTGGGCTAGGGTTGGCATGCACTCAGTTTTATCGTCATTCTCAAGTCTTCAATAGCTTTCTTTCTTTGCAGACTTTTTGCAAAGAGATGAAGTTCTGTTAGCAGTATAATGCTGCTGTTATTGTCCTAGAGGCATTTTCCACTTTACCATTGCACTCTTGACACTTTGTGCAATAAAAATAAAAGTTACGTCCATCTCTGTAGCGCTCCATCATTTAACCCCTTCTCCACACAAACTGAAATTGCACAGAAAAAAAAGTTTTTTTGAAATTGAAATTAAATTTTTTTTTTCATTATATTCACTTGATGTGTACATAACTGAAGAACCTTTGTAATGCACGTATCAGCATAATTTTATCTTATAACACTTTTATATTATAACACTACGGAAAATTGAATGTGATTACACCTCCAGGATTACCTGGAAATATCCTTAGTTTGATTTATGCAACTATCACTTGACACACACCGTGTACTTAGAAAACATATTTTTTGTCTGATATTATAACTCGACCTGCATTTTTTTTTTTTGTCCCGTTTGGATCTTTAGCCATCAGAATTGTTGTCATGAGGCCAAGAAAGATGCCAAGCGGATTTATTTTACCAAGTGGATCATCATGGCCTTGCCATATTGGTCCATTTGATTGACCTTTATTATAATTATGTATTTATTTTATTTTATTTTTGATTGCTACAAACGGGACAGACATTACTGGGGGATATGACAGGAAGAAAGAATGAAAGAAAGAGAGGGAGAGAAACACAAACAGAGGGGAGAAGAGACGGTGAGAAAGGGGGGAAGAAAGAAAGAAAAACAAACAAAACACCTGGATCACCTGTATGGAGGAAAAAAACCAGAAGAGAAAACAAACAAAAAAGAGCAACATAATAAAAGCAGCACCATCACAATAAACTAGCTAGCAGTAGATAACAGTAGATACTAAATATTAAACGCTATTGTGCAGCACGCAAGATAGACAGCTCACAATGTGCTTTGAGGCAGCAGCCAAGAAAGGTGTAGTCCGCGTCTGTGAACACCCGTGTGTACACCTGTGTGCATACCTGTGTGGATCAGCATGCTTGTATTCCAAAGGTTTCTCCATGTAACGATCTGCTACACTCTAAGAAATGACACACTGATGTTGGTAGCATTATGTAAATGCTTCATGTTAAAACTAATGCCACCAATTGATTTTTAACTTTAAACACAAGTATGTTGTTTTGAATTTAATTAACAACATAATATTTCAATACAACAAAATGCAGTAAATTAAATCCAATGTAAAAAGTTCATTTAAAATGAAGAGCACTTTAATTTAAAGAGGATTGTCCTAATAGGCTCTCCGTACTTCTGAGTTTGCACATGTGCAGTGTGGAAGTTTGATCATCCGCCATTTTCAACTGAGACTTGCATATGCTTAGCATCCTGGATAGAATCCATCGCCATCTGAGGATTATTTGGTAAGTACAACAATTTAAGGATGACAAATTTGATTAATGTATACTAACTGATACACATCTGACACTTTCGGGAATACTTTTGCATTTTTTTTTAAACAAATGATGCCTGGCAAATTTTTTAACACTCTAGCTCAGGGCTGCCCAATCCCAGTCCTCGAGAGCTACTATCCTGCAGCTTTTAGATGCATCCCTACTCCAACACAGCTGAATCAAATGGTTTGATTACCTCTTCAGCATGCCATCATGTTTGGCAAAGGCCTGATAACAAGCCATTCATTTGGTTCAGGTGTGTGGGAACAAGGATGCATCTAAAAGCTGCAGGACGGTAGCTCTCGAGGACCGGGACTGGGCACCCCTGCTCTAGCTTGTATACCTCTCACACATGTTAGAAGTATGAAAACATTTAACAAATATTGTTGAACCTGCTTCGGTGTAATTTTCCAAAATCTTTTGCGATTCTTGTTAAGATGAGACTTGCCTACTAAGACCGACAGTTTTAAAATTACTCCCAACATCTACCGCACCTGCTCCCTGACATCAGTAATGACCACTGGGAGCGCCAGCGATCCTGTAGTTTGAAGAATGAAATGAATGTGTAGTGTATTTTAGAAATGTGCATCAATTAAGTTGCTACATTGTTTGAAAGAATTCGACTCCATGTTGATTTCTGGTTTAGTGTCAGAAATCTTCACTGAAGAAGCTTCACTTTTCTTTCCAAGCTCCTCAGACTACGATGACCTGGATGACTGTGAACCTTCACAGACTTATTGTTATCCACAAAATGTCATGATAGGATTTTAAGTCCATATTGCCCAGTTCTAATCTTCTATTTAATTTTAATATTTTTAGGGGCACAATTATTAAATATATTGTTGAACAATCTAGAATTGATTAAAGCAAAAATGAAAGCTTTCACGTAATGTCAAAATTGAAAAGCTTCGATTTTTGGGTTCATATATTTGTTAATCTGACACAGAGGAGTCAGTGCCTTACCAATCATGAACCTCACTGCACATCACTGATGTGAGTTATGAAACATTGCTTAATCACATATCTGCTATGTGTTAATATTTTTGACTTTCTTTTGTAAAGAGGTTGAAAGGAACCAAAATAGGAAACTTCTCTCATATTGAGTTCTTATCTCCACCAGAATCCCAGCGTTGATGTTTGACAGGAATGCATTCTGAAAGCTGTCTGTGTCTACTTAAATGAAAAGCCAGATGACCTGTTCAAGGAATTCTTGGTAAGTTAAAAAAGGAAAACGATCAGTTATTTTCCTTTTTTAAATTTGGGATTGGAAATGGAAGGTGGACTTACTTGTCCATATGTATATGTACGCAATTAACTTATCTTTTTTTTAATTTTTATTTAAAGGATGTGGATCTTGGTGCAAGCAGAGAAACAGAGCAGCTGACTTTGGGAGTCTATGTTGTCAGACATGAGAGCAAACTCTGCAGATACACCTGAGGACATTGCTGTCATCATAGAAGGATGCACTGTGCTGCAAGCTCTTAGTGATGTGGCAAAGGGTTGTGCCCTCCGGCTTGGACTAATCTATAGTCTAAATCTGAGCTACCCAAAGCACCTGAAATACACATTTGAATTTCTTCAGAAGGTGCCGATGGAGTTGGATGGGAACAACCTATCCATGAAGGTGCAGGTTCTGAAAAACAAACTGCTTGAGTGAAACAGCCTGCAGTGAACTATAGAGGACACTGAACTTTAAGGTTCTCGAACCCTTCTCCTTGCACTTCATAAACTGTTCAGTTTGAATTGCCACAAGAACTTCTGCAAGGCCTTTCACTTTTCTGCGTTCTTTGTTCTTGAACCTTTACCAACATCCAACTACACTGAAAAAGACTACTCCTAACTTTGGACTTCAGTTTAAGTTTTGAAGCAAAGGTTATTTTTCTAAATATGGACAAAAATGACACAAAAGTAATTTCTACCTGCTGTTTGCAGGGCTGTATTGTGGGATTTTCATTGTAGCCCAATCAAGTTTAAATTAAGTCATGTTAATGTTAAAAATGTTGGAATCACAACACTTTCCAGTTTTAATCATTTCAGTTTAACATGACATTCTGTATCTTGTCTTCCTGCACCTAAAATGCACTTGAATATATGTAAAGATTGTTTGGGGGAAAAGATCTAGAAGCATTTGAATTGCTCAAAGTGTGCTTCAACAAGTTTTACACAAAGTGTTATTAAAGTTAGGTTAACTGAATAAACTTGTGTTCGATTTATTTAATTTACAAACTTAAATAGACTAAGTTGCAATTCTGTTAAAGTGATTTAATCCTATAGTTTCAGTAGAGCGTGTTTTGGGTGAGTAGATTTATCAGATTTACTTAAAATTTGTTGTTCAAATTAAATATATCATACATTTTATATTTCACTAACCCAGTTGTGTGGAACCGGTTGACATAACTGGGTGGAGTAAATACAATATGTTATTTCTCAAAGTAAGTACAGCTTGTTTTGGTTGAGTAGGTTTTATTTAGTCTTCTCAATTTAAATCAACAAGGTTAGTTATATCAACATTATGATATTCAGCTAATACAACATGATTCTTTTGATTTGCATTTAATTATCCAAATCTTATCAGATGTACTTAAAATTTCTTGTTCAAATTAAATGTATCATACATTTTATATTTCACTAACCCAGTTGTGTGGAACCGGTTGACATAACTGGGTGGAGTAAATACAACATTTTATTTCTTAGAGTGTAGGGAGTGTGGGGAGCCATAGCCCCGTCCACCAGGGCATGACATATAGACACAGACGAACAGGCGCACGCGGACACAAACGTGCATTCCCACCCCCATATACACAACCAAATACTTGGCACTCACCCAACGTGTAGACAGACACAAATAGACACTGCACACACAGTCGCACTCCCCAAACATACTCTATATCCCAGGTCCAGGTACCCCCGCCCCCAGAGGGGCAAGCTGCACCTAGACCCTGGAGATGTAACCCTTCTCTCTGGGGTGGAGGCAAGCGGACCACCTCCTTATCTGCAGTAGCAGGGAGGCCCCGCATCCCAGACCCCAATCTGACGACCAGCACCTCCTCCCAGCCCCCCAGCCCTGACGGCTAACAGAACCGAGGTGAGTGAAGACCCCAAACATCCCTCCGCCCGCTCATATGTAGTGTTGCTGTGTGCTGTTCTAAAGTGCATTTAAAACTCAGGAGAGCATGGTTCCTGCTTCCTATCAGAGAGCGCATGGCTCCTCCCGAAAACCCCCAGTGTCTATATGCATTTAAAATTGAGGGTAGGGCACCAGCGCCAGAGGTGGGTTGGAATACACCGACCATCCTCTGGATGCTGTAAAACGTGCCCACCCCCAAGGCCCTATATGTATGTGTTATGTGAGAGTGTGAGTAATGTGGATGTCTAGGTTGCAGAATAAAATTGAGGCACAGGCGGCCAGAAGGGGACAGAGGGGGAGTGCCTCCCCTGCACCCTGGTGACATACCTGCACCCCAAGCCCTGCGTGTGTGGGTGGTTGTGGTAGAGCGGGAATAGGGAGGCAGCTGAGGATGGGGAGGGAAGAAGGGGAAGGGCAAGCGGCCCCTCCCTGGGGCCAGCTCCCCCGCTGACCCCCAGTAGGCACCCCCACACTCTGGAACCCACCAGGGCAAGGGGGCCCCGCAGCAGCAGCACTGCCCGGCCCCACAGAGTCTGGGGCAGCCCACCCGACTCCACCCCAGAGAAAACTGCACCCACCACATCATCCAATCATCTCCCAAACTACACAAGACAATGGACACCCAGGTTGAGTTCATTCTCTACCTCTCCTATATCTCTCCCCCACATGCAGAGTGAGCTCCTGTAGAGAGGAGACCACCTGCATACATATAGGATCTTGGGGGTGGGCACGCTACACGGACTCCAAAAGACCATCAGGGTGTACACCTCACCTCTGGCGTTGTTGCCCACCTCTCAATTTTAAATACACGTAGACACTGAGGGGTATCAGGAGGGGCTGTGCTGCTGCTGCTCTCTGGCAGGTAGCTCCATGCCCTCCTGGGTTTTAAATGCACCTTAGAACACACATGCATAAACACTACATATGAGTGGGCGGAGGGAGGTTTTGGAGTCTTCTCTCACCCCCGTTCTCTGCGACCTGCTGGAGCGGGGGGCCAGGAGGAGGAGTTGGCCGTCCGACTGGGGTCTGGAGTGTGGGGCCTCCCTGCTGCTGCGGAGTCGGGGCGGTCTGCTTCTCCCCACTGCAGGGAAAAGGGTAACACCTTCGGTCACTCTGGCGCAGCTGGCTGCCGGCGGAGCTCTGGCTTCTGCTCCGCGGCTGCTGAGTGAGCCCTCATCTGGGACTCTCCTCAGCTCTTTCTGGGACAGTGGCGCGGCTGCCCCTCTGTTGGTCTTCCTTGGTCTCTTGTATTCTGGGGGCCTCTGGATGTCTGGAGTTTTGATCTCTTCCATACCTGCTTCATGCCCTGGTGGACGGGACTGTGGCTCCCCACACCCTCTAGCAGATCATTACATGAAGGAACCTTTTAAAAACAAGCGCGTCCATGCTCACAAGTGTACACACGGGTGCTCACACACACAAACTACACCCTTTTTGGCTCCTACCTCAAAGCACACTGCGCTGTCGATCTTACGTGCTGCACAATAATGCTTAATATTTATTATTTACTGTTATATTCCCATAGATCATTGTGATGTTGTGTATTGTATTGCTCTCGTTTTCTTCTGCTTGCTTTCTTTTTTCTTTCTCAACAGGTGATCCAGGTGATTGATATATGTATTTTTTTTTTGTCTGCTTATTTAGTTGGTTTTTGTTTTTTTGCCCTTTATCTCCATCCCTCTTCTCCGCTGTTTTTCCCCCTCTTCCTTTCTCCCTTTTCTTTTCCTCATTCAAGTCTGTCCCCGTATCTAGCAAGTGAAAAAAATAAATAAATAAACAATAAAAGGTGACTCAAATGGACCATTACGGCAAGGCTGGGATGGTCAATTTGGTAAAGTAAATCCGTTGGGCATCTTTCTTCGCCTTTAGACAACAATTCTGATGGCAAAAGAGCCAAATGGGACAGGCAAAAAAAAAAAAAAGAAGCTAAACAGAGAAAAATGACTGTGTCATATACATGATGAATAAACTTATATGAAGCTGAGACCTCTCTGCATTAAATCATACTTGTTATTAATCCGTGGCTCTCTTCCACAGCATGTCTTTTGTGTTGCCTTCATTCTCTCACCTCTGCTGGAGGTTTCTTCCTGTTAAAAGGGAGTTTTTCTTTCCCACTCTCACCAAAGTGCTGCTCATTAGGGGGTCATATGATTGTTGGGTTTTTCTCTGTATGTGTTATTGTAGGGTCTACCTTACAATATAAAGTGCCTTGAGGTAACTGTTGTTGTGATTTGGCACTGTGTAAATAAAACTGAATTGAATATGGTGAACATATTGATCAACATTGGCAACATTAACCAAAAAAACATTTTTATTTATTTACAGTGGCTTTGTGCCTACTAGATAAATCTAAAGAATAAATTGAAACTGTAAAGCTTGAGGCTGTAGAACAAAATATTACAGAGCTAGAGAGAGAGCCTGTTTCAGATAAAGGTCGATCTGAATCTAGTATTTTTCATGTAAATATATACTGATAAAGCCATAGAATACACCTAGGATGTGCATGACCTGTTCTAATATTGTTCTAAACATTTAAAAAAAATCCCGTACCCTGAGAGAACCCACCCAAACATGGGGAGAACATGCAAACTCCACAAAGAAAGATCCTGGCCTGCTGGTGGAATTGAACTCAGGACCTTCTTGCTGTGAGGCAACAGTGGGAACCGTGTTGCCTCTCAGTTAAAAATTAACAACATTACATTTAAAACAGAAAGTACTCACTGTAACACTGAGCTAAACACTCCCATCTTCAGTCTAAACAGGAAAGCACAAACATTTGTTGTTGTGATGGCCATAATGGATCAGGCTACTCAAAGACTCAAAATCAATAAAACTGTCTCTTGAAATAGATGCAGCTATCCTGATCACTCTGAGCTATAGTCAGTGTTCTCATTTTCAACTAAACTTTTGTCAAGGACCAGCAAGAGGTCCTTTTCATCTGATCATTGTGATCGAGAGGTCACCCAGGTATCACTGTACCCTGGCGAGCTCCCAAAACAACTTATGCTACAGCTATAGCCTTTGAAACATCAAAGCTTTCCCAGACAAAAGGCACACGCATGCTGCCTCATGACCTTTCATGCTATTGCACATGTGACCTTTCACAGCAGATACATTCGAGCCAGTTAATCAGTTGTAAGGAAAAATGATTGCTAACCACCAGGTTAAGAGTCAGTTTACCACTTTTGCTGCAAGTAACAACAGTATAGGTGGTGTTAGGTAGGGTTAGGTAGTTAATTATTAATATTAACAATAAAATTACTAATATCAATATCCATGAAACTTTAAGTTTACTAATATAACAGATCTGAGCTTTTATTTGATGGACATCCTAGCTCTTATCTCCTTCATAATAGTCAAAGGAGCTTGCAAAGAAAAGCTGAAGAAGAACTGAAGAAGCTTCTTGGATGAGAGGTGAAATGTCTTCAAGCAACTTAAAGAAGTCCAGACGCTTTTCTTTGCAAGCTCCTTTGACTACGATGACCTGCATGACTAAGAACCTTCACAGACTCCTTCATAATACATTGGACATAATGCTAATATGAAAAAACACATTTAACTCTAAGAGAATGACTAGGATACTGTTATTTATGAGTGTACTTGTCATGGTCCTTCAGTCCTCCTGTGCATCTCTGTCATTTCTCTTTTCCTTTCTTCATTTTGGTTTTCTCTCTCTCGCCCTCTCATCATGAATGTGTGGTGTGTTTGTGTCTAACCATGCCTTATTTTGCAGGGGAGGGTGTAACTGCTCCTGAAGGTTTTTCATGTTCGAAGTAGAATAAAGGGCCATGCTCCAACTGATGTGCAGCCAGTATTTTAATCTTCTTTTCACCAGCAAACACCGTGAAAAACTATGGTGAAATGATCAATGAAAAACACGGATATTACATCAGCAGAACAAAAATTACAACTCAAATAAAACATACACACAAAGTAAATGCACCAACATACCGTGTGCGCCTTTCTACTGAACATTCATGAGCAATTGTAGTCCATATCGTCTATATTTCCACCCTTTGCACAGGCCAGC